AGAAAATGAGCAAAAATCCAGGATTGACCTTCATGTCTTATATAATCTGATCTACCCACTAAGTGACATTATTCATAGCTTATACCATGTGACCACAATCAGTATCTGGCCGGATCCATCATGACTATCACATTCATGACTGTTTCATTGTTCCTTCTGTTTTATTTTCTTCCTGTTGGATTAGCAGCTCGAAACAGCAAACAATCTCCTCCTCTTTTACCTGTTGAGAGAGCCAACTACACACTTCAAGGACTACTGGAGTACTACTGGATGACTGACCCTGTCTACAAACAAATCCAGTTCTTTTTTGCATGTGGGCAGATTGGGGGAGGTGGCTCTCCTTATGTATGGAACAAGTGTAGCTGCTATTCCACTAAATCCTGCATCGACTGCTACAGGTGGTGGGATGCTGTAGCACTTGAGTCTATTGCAACTTTTGGCGTATACACTGACTCAAAAGATTACTCCACCATTCCGGAAGTGGTCTTCAGGCATTCTCCCTATAATTCAAAGTGGGATGCTACGTCTACTTATTACTGCACTTTTGTCGATGACTTTGCTTGGTATGGTATTGCTTATCTAAGGATCTATGAATGGCTAAAGGTCAGTTGATTTTTTAACATGTTACAATTATTATCTACCGGTATTATAGATCTAATTAGAATTATTAGTGCTTAAAAAATACTAAAAATAAAAAATGCATCTATCATCCTTTAGGCTCCTGTTTGGTTGGAAAGAACTACTCTACTCTTTGAATGGCTGTGGAAGTATGGTTGGGATCAAACTTGTGGTGGCTTCTGGTGGAATCTCTGTGACACTCAGCATTACAAAGATTCAATAACAATTGTAGAAATGATGCACCTCACTTCAAAACTAGCCTATCTCTTTCCTAAAAATGATACTTACTTGTTAAAGGCAGAGAAAGTGTGGAACTGGTTCTTTAGTTTTGATGATGGATATGGTTTAATGAGTGACAAGTATTTAGTATCAACTGGTGCTATTCCAGAGAAATGCTGCAATTCTTCATCAAAGGATCCCTTAACTAAATGTTATAACTCAAAGATATCAGGCACTTCATATAATCAAGGACTACTGATGAGTTCAGCAGCTTACCTGTACAGGAGGACTGGTAACAAGACCTATCTACTAGTAGGAATGAGAGCATTAGAAGCTATACTGAGCAACTATACTACAGATGAAGGTATTCTTATTGATGAACCTAGAAGCTACCAAACTTACAACAATGAGCAATGTTGGGGTGGTATATCAGACCCTGGTGGTGACTATTACTCATTCCAAGGCATCTTCATGCTTCACTTAAGCTACTTCATTGACTTACTGAGAGAGAATGGCAGTTTACCTGATGACACACTAGAGAGAGTAAAGAGCTTTGTATCTAAGACAAGTGATGCAGCTTGGACTCGATCAGCAGTCTGGGCTCCATTCACAGAGGAAGATGTATGCAACACAAACCCAAAGAAACTAACAAGTAAATATCCCAAGTTCCACTGGTGGTGGGGAATGAACAATACTGAGCAGATTATACCTCCAAGCCCAAGAATATTCTTTCATAAAATGGAGCTCCGTTGCTATACTCTAGTAAACAACTCTCAGCTCTGGCAGGGAGAAGTCATCGACGAAGGAACTTGCATGGTAAAATGTCTTTACAACAAAACCTGCGCTAAGTATCTCTTCCAGACGTACGAGGATAAAGTGCAAGGCCTCAATTGCTGGCTCTGGACATACAATCGAACTGATCATATTTGTAATAAAAGTGACTCTGATTTCACTGCTGGCTTTAAGAGGCCAGTGGGTGCTTCTTGTGCTGGTCATTGTAATAATAGTACACCAATCAATACATCAAATGGTGGAGTGTGCTACTGTGATTCACAGTGTCCTAAACACCTTGACTGCTGTCTGGATTATGCTGATCTATGCCTACCTCAAGATACTGTTCCATCTTGCAAAGGACAGTGCTCTCAAAATGTTTCCCAGCCTATAAGAGGTGGTGGATACTGCTGGTGTATGGATGGCTGTCTTGGGTATACTGATAATAATAGTGATGGTAGCTGTTGTCCTGATTATCACAAAAACTGTCTCAATATTACTATGCCCACTTGTCTGGATGCTCGCTCCCAAGGATCTGCATTCAACCTGTTTATTGCTCATCTAAAGCTTTCAAAAATTAACTAAATATTTAAGTAAACATAAACATAAAAACAACAATAATTTTCTTGTAATAATAATGATAATTTATCCCGAAGAGGGACATTTTCGTGTGCATGATTATTATTAGTAATAAAAATCTGAGAAAAAGGGAAAGAAAGTACAAAAATAGTGAAAAACATAATGAGGGATTTACACATAAAAATATTTTGTTTTACTAATAATAATAATAATATGTAAATTTGCATGTTCCTTCATTGTAATTAGTTACTGTGCTCATTCAAAGTTCTGATACTTGCTCATCTCTGATCAAAAGAGACCCATCATGACCAGAGAGTCCTTGAGATTGAGAGAGGCTCGAAGATCCATTCGAAAGTGTAAAACCATTTATAGCGTTAAGATCAAGCGTCACAGTTTGGGCGGGCTCATCCGTACTAGTACTTTGTGAAAGAAGCTCGGTCTCGTCTGGAGGTCTTGAAGAGCGAGAGGTAGTCCTGTGGAGGCTCTGTCGGAGAGGGTTCTTAAAAGTCGAGCATTTCCCGGGACCTTCTTCAATGTCTCCCAAATCATCTCTCTCTTCATCGTCCTCTTCTTGCGACTGTGAGGAGGGTGGGTTTGGATTAGGGAACGAGAAAGTCGTCTCGTGTAGCGACTGAGTATCGGAAACAAGTGACATCACGTCTCCTAAATCATCAAGCGGATTCATAAAGGTCCTGTCTTCATCTTCGTCATCAATCGAACGGAATCTTAGTCTCTCCTTCAGCTCTTCAACGACAGGCTGACTAGAAGCAAATTCACTGGAAATAAGATCTTTGGTAATGTAAGGTGAGCTGGACTTTCCCTTAGCGGCACTGTACACATTCCTGTACAGTGTTCCCTTACCTCCTCCGATTCCACCTGCTTTTCTACCGTAATTATTTGATGCGTTTGTTTTCTGTGTCGTACGAGAGGTCGAAGGTCCGACTGATGAAGAGGCCTCTGTGGATTTAGTAGCTTCTTTTCTTAATATCCATCTCTTCCATATGTTACGAGCATTGGGAGAGAGTACAACGTAGAGTAGGAAAATAAAGAACCCTTGGAACACGGTAAATATCGTGAAGATGGAATTAAAAATGATTCTGACTGGCGTAGAGCCAATGGCTGACGAAGCAAGGACGCCAAAACCCCAACCTAAACCAAAAAGGACCGAGACGGTGAAAGCTACACGGCATTGCTTTTTGATTTCAGCTTTACGGTTCTTTTTCTTGGCTTCACTGAATTTGGAGCTGGCGCTCTTTTTGATGAGACTGATCATGATGATAAAGAATATAGTGTAGTTGAATATGTAGATGACAGAGAAAGGAAGGAGGATACCAATGTAGAGCGGGAACCCCGAGGGGCCACAACTGAAAAGAAAAAAAAACAAATAATAATAATAATAATATTGATAAATATACAGTACATGACGTACTAGTGAGGATGAATGTAGTGATCGGAATCTGGGACAAAACAAAATAGAACAACAAAGAGTGGAGCAACTAAAGAAAAAATAATAAATTGTTAACTTAAAATCAAGTTCTTACTCCAGCCGATAATTGCAGTCTTTAGTATGAATCTCTGTATCTTTGGACCCAGGACTATAACGAGTTTTATAAACAGGTCAACCGACTCTGCCGCCATTATAAAGAAAACGGCGAGAAAGAAGTAATGAACTAGCGCGCCAATGATCCCACAGACTGGTTTCGTTAGTCTGTCCCCTTGAGCTGCTATAATGAATGTGAAGTATAAGCCAAGGAGAGCAAATGAGAGGTGAATGAGGAGTTGACTGGCTTCCGAGTTACGTAGCTTCCTGAAAAATTAGGAGAATTTTAAAAGGGTATTATAAATTTTGTAAAAAATCTAATATTGATCGGAATCAGCTCAAACTTTCTACACAGCATAAGAACATGTACATGTATCAGGAAATGTCATAAAAATTGAGAATTCTTTACTTTTCATTTTTGGCGAAATTTGGCCCGAGACCATGTACTATAGTACAGGGACTTTTACTCGATTTTAGAGTAACTTAAAAAATTCGTAAAAAATCTAAACTTAACCGGAATCAGCTCAAACTTTCTACACAGCATAAGAACATGTACATGTATCAGGAAATGTTATAAAAATTGAGAATTCTCTACTTTTAATTTTTGGCAAAATTTGGCCCGAGATCATGTACTATAGTACAGGAGCTTTTATTTGATTTTGGAGCTCATTAAAAAATTCGTAAAAAATTCAATTTTGATTGGAATCAATTTAAACTTAAGTTCAAGTGATAATATAATGCAATTTTATGCGTGTAATATAATCTGAGTATCATCATTATCAACTTACGGAGTTCCTAGGTAAGTTATAAGAGTCACTATGAGACATATAATAGATACAGTGAGGCCAATGTATGTTAAGTACTGAAATACTTCAGCCTCTGCAGCTGTGGGCGGTTCTTCGGCAGCAACATCCTAGCAAATAATTAATAAATGCCTAATAAATTAACCAAATAATAAAATAATAATAAATAATAATAATAAATGCCTTAATAAATTAATTTATTAATAATAATAAATAAATAAATAAATAATTTAATAATTAATAAATTAACAAATGCCTTCTGTTACATTTTAAAGATTTATTACTCTAACATTCTTAACGTTAAATATTTTAAATTTTTAAAAAACTTACCAGCAATATTGCAAAGCTAGTCAAGTGGTCGCAGCTGCAGATATTCCCTCCTACTAGCGAACAACCATCACTAGACCACTCTACACAAAACACTTAATAACTAATAATCAAACCAGACACACCCACCATTATTTTCTGTGTCCCAGAACCGACACACAGGAATACGGCTCCCATCAGCAGGTGGAGTGAACTACAAAAATAACAAAAATATAATAATAAAGAGAGAGGGAGAATAGAGGAACTTACATTAGGAAACATCAATTGTATGGGTTCTGCTAAATTAGACACATCTTGATCAGGTAAAGTAAAGTCAAGTACAGGTGTACCAACAGTACTCCCGTCATCTTCATTTGGAATAAACAAACTATCACTCGTGAAAACCGAAAAAACAAACGGATTGTCACGATTATCTCTAAGAAACCCATCTGGTAACATGACAGTAGCGTTTGACGTTGAGTTGTGGCTGGAAGAGATGGAGGAGTTAAGAAAGCTGCCTGTCATGATGGCCATCCTGTCTCGAAGAATCGTCGTATTTGCTGGAAGAGTGTTTGTAATGTTAAATAATGACCTTAACATTCTATGAAAATGAGAGGGAAGGAGGGGGAGAAAAAAAGAGAATTAAAAATTCATAAATTAGAAGCGTTTTTACTTTTCGGACGAATCGCTTGTCCTCTGAGCTATAACAAGCTCCTGTCGACTAACTCCTTGGATGTTATTAAATACATTCATGGTAGTATTAACAAGCTAGAGGAAGAAAAAAAGAACAAAGATAAAGTATATAATTATTAAATGATGACTTACTGTATCATTACTGATGACATCGTCTACAACAGAATTAATGGCAGTGGCAGAAACTGTGACACCAGCAGAATCAATCTTATCAATATTGCCCGTAATATTATCAAGACCGTTTAGTAATTCGGAAGAAGATAGCTATAAATTAAAATTAAAAATGAATGCATAAAATAAGACTGGTTAGATGTAACAGTATATGTTTACAATCAATAAAGCACATGAATACTTCTTACATTAGCTAGTCTACACAACTGTCTTGTAGTCACAGAGAAATTGCAAGGTTGAATATTTGGCCTCTCCCAAGCAGCACCTGTTATTAAATTCCCTCCGCAATTTCTCGTAGCAAGAAGGACTGTAGACGACAGCTGGAAATCACAAGGACAGCTGACGTTTTGAACTCTACCAAACAATATCTCAGGCCATTCTATTATGAGCCTAAGAGCTGGGTCACCATCAGGAGAAGGAATATCAGTATTGTCAGGGGGACAATAATCTGGAAGAGTAATATAAGGAAAAGGATAATGATGAGAGAGAGAGAGACACTTACTGAATCTTCTTACTCCCTGATTATCGCTGATCTCCAAATGATGTCCAAACTTACTCACACGGTCTTCAACGTTCCGTCGGAGGATATCATTTGGAGTGTCCTCTTGAAGTCTAATAGTTATCTTGATGGGCACTGTAATATTAGTGGTTCTATTTCTGTTGGAAGAAGAAAATGCTGAAATTGCCCTAATAAAATCTCCAATTTGCTTTATTAGCATGCTCAATATCATGAGTATACAGGTTTGTCAATATAAAAATGCTACAATCATAAAATTAGGTGATATATAGGAGAAAGAGGTCCAAGTATTACATGTACATGTACTTACAAAGGAATGCCATTCCTGACTATAAAGAAGAAGGTTGAATTAGAACCAATTTCTTCACCAGCAATACCACTGTTTATCTGTTTGATAAATAAAATAAAACAAAATAAATTGATAAATAGAAATAAAAATTGTCCCTTACTGTATTGACAATGGTATCAGCAGCAGAAGTTATGTTAACCCCTTCTCTTAAGCTTGAAACTTGAACTGTTAGATTAGCAATATACTCAATCACATCTACAATGACACACAAATAAATATACATAAATTATAAAACAAAGCTTACCATTTATATTAACCAGTACAGTTTCACTGGCTACAACACCAACAGCATTGCTTGCTACACAATGGTAGTTGCCTCTGTCTTCAAGCCTTATTTCTTGTATAACGTACTCATTAGGAGATGGACCAAGGGAGCCCTCGACAAATACACCATCCCTGTACCATCGGATGGAAGGATTTGGAAGACCCTCAGCAGAGCAACGGAGGGTCACTGGTTTAAAAAGAGCTACAAATATGTCCACTGACGTTACACTTAGGAATCTTGGAGCAATTTCAGATTCAGTTCCTATAAGAAGAGAAAAAGAGAGAGGGGGAGGAGATCAAATTAATTCAATGCCATAGGTTTACTAACTTATTTCACAAGTATCACCGCTGTAGACTGCTTGACCGACACGTCCACATATACAATAAAACCCTCTCTCAAGGTTGTTACATGTTCCGCCATTTTGACACGGGGAGGACTCGCAGTAATTTTCAACAGCTGGAATTTAAAAATAAATTTATTATTTTAGTCAGCTTCTTTCTCATTCTATTTTCTACTTTTATGTGTACATGTACATGTACTTACGGACATTAATGATGAGATTATTGGGTGGATCAAGTAGAGAACGCCCTCCAATGTTCTCTGCTTGACAAGCATACAGTCCGCTGTCATCTCTCGCATTAGCATTGGTAATAGTGAGTATACTGATCACAGCAGTACCATTCGGATGTATGACATCAGGTCTTATTGTCTCGTTCAAGTCCTGTGGAACGAATGCCACGCGCGGTTTAAAGTTCAAAATAGCATCATTGTAAAACCAAATGATACCAGGCTTGGGGATGCCGTCAGCCGTACAACTCATTGTAATGTTGATGACTTCATCTAATTGAGTTTTTGTTTTATTAAAAATCATACCAGTACTATTGCCCAGAAGGGCTGGAACTAAATGAATGAGCACAAGAATAAATACATAAGTAATGGTATAGGGTATAGTATTATACATTTACACGTACTTGTGTCATGAAATTTTTAGAGCAACTTTTAAAATTCATAAAAAATTCAAATTTGATCAAAATTGGCTCAGACTTTCTACACAACATAAAAACATGTATATGTATCAAGAAAAAATTATAAAAGTGAAAATTTTTTCTTTTCATTTTTGGTGAAATTTGGCCTAAGACCATGTACTGTAGTACAGGGACTTTGGCCTGATTTTTGAGCAACTTTAAAATTCAAAAAAATCCAATTGTATTTAAAATCAATTCACACTTTCTACACAACATAAGAACATATGTTATATAAAACAAAAGTAGTACTAATTAATAAATCCAATACTCCTATACATACATATATACCGTCATTCACTTACCAATAACTTTTAATAAATGACTATCACTACTCATACCAGCTGGATTGGACACACTAAGTGCAAACGTGCCATAATCTTCAACTTGAGCATCTTGTATCGTCAGAGTCGTTAGATTATGATCAAAAGTGAAATTGTATCTCTGATAACGCTGAGAATCCACACAGGTTGCATTTTCCATTTCGGCACATGTTACGTTTAGAATCATTGGCCTTGATTGTACGTCATTGATACTAGTAAAGGACCAGATGATGTCATCAAGGGAGACAGGAGGAGAGGCTCGCGTTATATTAAATGATATTATTATTTCGGAACCTTTTTCTACTGACTCTTTGTTCATGCCAACGACAGTCGGAGGAACTACAAAGAGAAAAGAGAGGATCCAGAGAAATAGAATATGAGAAGAATGGGGTATGTACATGTACATGTAAAGCAAGCGATAATATACAGTAAAACAATTAAAAATTATTCATACCCATACCTTGTATAGTGAGTCTACTGATAGCAATTCTATTCACACCAATATTGTTACGGACTTCATTTTCCGATGAACAAGTATACACTGCCTCGTCACTTTTATTAACATTACTAATATTCAACACACTGGTCACATTAAAAAGCAGCCCGCCCATTGAATTATTAGTAGTTATGACATATTTGCCGTTATTACTGCTGGCCAGTGCCCGTGAACCAATAGACCATGTGACGGTGGGACGTGGGTTACCGGTGACTATACATGTAAGTGTAGCAGTAAAGGTCTCGTTTATGATAGTGTGACTGGGGAGTGATAAGACTTTGGAAGGATCTAATATAACAATGAGAAAGTGAAAGAGGAAAGAATCACTTGTTACTAAATATAAGGAGCTCACTCTACATTTATGACGAGTAATATTTACTAACAATAATTATAATAATTATAATTGAATTTAACAATACAGTAATTATAATGTGTACAGAATACTGATACATGTACATACACACGTGTGACAGCCTATTCTTATAAACTTACATAGTACAGTCAACATTGCTTCATTAGACTCAGCAGAGCCAGGACTATAAAGTGTGTTATTACCGACACAGTGATATCTACCAGAGTTTGTTAAATAATTAACACTAGCAATGTTCAGTACTGATGTCGTTTGATTGTACGTATAAGTGAATTGAATTGAGTGGTCATCTACCAGTGTACCATCGTGATACCAGGTGATGTTTGGAGCCGGTACACCGGTTACAGTACAATTGAGGGAACAGGAGTCACCACTGGTACACTGGGTGGACTGTGGGTGAGTTGATATACTGGGATATACTGAGAGAGAGAGAAGAATGAGTATATAATGATAATAATAATAATAATTGTAAAGTGATTGATAATAATAGTAATGATTAATGGTATGAACATCAAGTATTTCCATTTACGTCTTTCCGCTAATCTTTTATAATAACAAACAATAAATAATAATAACAATAACAATAATAAATTATAATAAATAATAACATAAAATGCTTACGTTGTACTTGGACTTGAACAGAATAGGTATCAGGCTCCATCAAGTTATACTCATTAGTCAAAGTGCAGGTGTATACTCCAGCATCAAACGCATTGATATCTCTTATACTCAATCTACCATACTCCATTGCAGAAGGAACTGTGTTATCAGATATACTAAACCTCTCCATTATATATGTCCTGGTAATACCCTCGACGAGAGGGAGGTACTCTGTATAGCCGGTTCTAGCTGTATCGTTATCGATGACAAACCTTATCTCAAATAGAAGGACTCCACTGGCATTTGTGAATGTCCAGGAGACATTTTGAAGAGGAGATCCATCAGCAAAGCAATCCAAGGGTACAACAGAGTCTGTGACTGTAATTACAGGACTTCGAGTGGAACGGATTATTTCAGGTAGGGCTGAAATAAGAGAGAGAGAGGGAGAGAGAGAGAGAAAGGGAGAGAGAAGAGAGAAAGAGGATGAGAGAATACACATGATTTACACAAAGACAACATAGCCGTGTGTCCCTAATCACATTAATTAGTAAAGTATAATTACATTTATTGTCGCCCAGACATTGATCCTGCCATGGAGTAGGATAAGAGGATAATTCTTACTCTAATTTTATAAGGTGTAGTTCTATTATCATTACCACTATTCACAAACACGTAAAATACTACACTATCATTACAATTTATATTTTCATTAACCTAAAGAATGTCTACTACTGTAGTACAACACTATAGACCACAATTGTGCTCAAAATAACTACATGCATGGTACAAATTATTGGGAGAAATATAATAGGCACATAAGTGAAATAACAAGCTAACAGATCCAATTTTTACCAGCACCAACACTATAGTATAAATTCCAAATTCTAATTGCTTCCTAAATAACTGTTAGTAAGAACACGTCATCATATCAGAGAAGCAAAAAAATAAATATAGGCTTGCATGTACATCTACTTGAACCACCATAAAGGAATCTTAGCATTTTTGCATTATAGGAAAAAATGACAGTCATTAAAAAATGTTTAGCTAGAAATCAACAGTAATTATTATTGGTATCTTTTATGTGTATACAGAGCAAAAGTGAATCTATATTTTCATTACAATATTAGTGTATAATTATAGGGGCTTACCCTGCACAGAGAGCTCTATAGTATGTCTGTCGGTTCCAGCAGGATTTGTAGCAGTGAGTTCATAATAGCCAGTATCATTAGTAGTGAGATTGAATAAAGTTAGGGACCTATGACTCTCCGAAAATTCGTAGTGATCCCCAGACCCTGTGATAATTTCTGATATGTCCAGGAACCGGTGTGTGAAAGACCAGGTAATGCCCTCGGGGGGCACGTCAGGCGATGCTAAGGAAATGTTAAAGTCTAGAGTTGTGCTGTGACCTCTAAACGCAATCTGAGTATCAGTTTGACTGGAGAAGACATACGGTTCAACTAGAAGAGGAAAAATAGATACAATACAATGTAATCCTTTTGATAATATAAAAGAGAAAGGAAATAGACGACTGTTCAAAAGACTTGTATAATAAAGAATAGGCTAGGGCATTGTATCAGATGTATACATGTACAAGAAAAAGAAATTTAATGAAAAGAAGAGATATGGGGAAAGAGAAATAAATGTAAGACAAGATGGGGAAGAGAAAAGGAAAGAGAGAGAGAGAGGGGTAGACTAACCTTGAACAACAAGATTAGCAGATACAGCCTCAGGCGTTCCAATGTCATTAGTTACATTATTAACAGCAACACAAGTATAAGACAACTCTTCAGACTTTAACAAAGAGCATAAAGTCAACCTGGAGACAGAGACGGGCCTACCATCATCCCTAGTCTCATTATAACTAGTAATATCAATACCACAAGACACTGGACACAGGGAACCATTAATCCTATCACACTCAACATTAGTATCATTACTAGATTCAACATTGCCTCTACAAACTGATGGGCCTCTATTCATAGGGCACTGATCAGTCAGATTCACTAATCTATTAGTATGACCTGATATTGAACTTAAGAATGAAGCTAACTCTCCATTTGTAAGGAATAGGTCACCATCGCCAATCCTATTAGTGATATTGAGTGGCCCCGGCACCCAGTAGAGGGTGGGTAGGGGAACACCAAAACTAGTGCATTCAATAGTAAAGGAGTCTGATTCATTCCTTGTGTATGTAGCCTGTGATAGGCGGAAGACTTGTGGTGGATCTAATGAACGAGAGAGGAGAGAGAGAGAGAGAGAGAGAGAGAGAGAGAAGGTTAAAGACACAAGAATTAGTTTGATAAACAACAGAAACATGAGGTAAATAAGCAAAGCAGGGAAAGAAAGGAAGTTATTGTCTGTTCATTGTGTCATTATATTCTTATGATAATAAACTGAGAGTATCTTAGATACACAAAATATACAATGATTATCATAATTCATCAACAGCAGACATCACCATATCCCTCACTCAAATGCAATACACCTGTATTAAAGTAATACCCAGCTTACATCTGGATTGTACGATCATCAAAATACATGTACATACACACACACACGCATACACCTCTTTAATAGATCCTACAGTAACTTACATTGGACAATCAATTCAACAGGATCACTTATAGCCATTAACTCCTCAGCTAACTGGTTTCTACTGACACAAGCATATTCTCCTCTATCACTGAAGACTGGGTTAGCAATATTAAGGACACTGCAGTTTTCATAAGTTGACTCTTGAATTGTAAAGCTTGTTCTGTTAGCTTCATCTATGATTGTGCCATTCTTCAGCCACTGTATGGATGGTAGTGGTATTCCTCCTGAGCAGCAACGGAAGGCAGCAGAAGTATTGACAAGGACAGTAGAAGAGGAAGGAGGACTAGAAATATATGGAGGAACTGAGAGAGAGAGAGAGAGATTAAGAAATGAAAGAATAATAAATGTAAGACAAATACACACAAAGCCTTCGTTATCACCTCACTCTCATTACACAAGTACATATCAGTAATAATAATGAATAGTAATAATAATAATAATAATAATAATAATAATAATAATAATAATAATAATAATAATAATAATAATAATAATAATGAATAGCAATAATAATAATAATAATAATAATAATAAATGATAATAATAATAATGAATAGCAATAATAATAATAATAATAATAATAATAAATGATAATAATAATAATAATACCTTGAACAAACAGGACAGATACAGCCGAATCAACCCCATGCACGTTATCAGCATGACAAGCATAAAGTCCTTGGTCAGTGAGACTAACGTTATGAACTATCAGTGTACTGTTTGAAGTATTGTTACCAATAATACTGTATTTAATGGAGTCTGGGGATATGTCAGTTCCATTGAATCTCCAGCTGGTGAAATGAACTGGCTCAGATACGCCAAGACAATGGAATGTAGCGTTGTTGCCTTCAATCGTATTGACTCTACCAGAGTTACTAGTGATGATGGGAGCAACTGGGAAGAGAAAGAGACAGAGACAGAGTGAGATAATTTTAAAAGAGAGACGTTGGAGGATTAAAGAAAAGAAAGATCCTATCATCCTAGCAGGGTTTCCCACAAAGCCTGCTAAGTGAGCACTTTATGAGCTGAAAAGCACTGCATGGCTTTTTGGGCAACTTTAAAAAAAATTAATAATAAATACCAATTTGATCAGAATCAGCTCAAACTTTCTACGTAACATGAAAACATTTTCTTACTTTCCACATCCAAAAACAAAGACTCGGTTCCATTCCCAATAATATTACTAGCGACCACACTATACTCCCCTTCATCGAAGGGCAGCGTCAGATTATAAATACTCAGAGATTCTCTCGAGTCGGAAAACATGTGCCTATCGTCTGAGAGAATCTCAGTACCATTGAGGAACCATTTGATGTCAATCGGAACGACGGCCGGGACGTCACGTGACACGGAGAAGACAAGGGTAATGTTTCTAGTGAGGACTCCAATTTCGGTTTGAGCCGAGACCCGATTGACCAGAGGAGATGCTAAATAAATAAACAAATAAATAAATAACATTCTATTTCATTTTATATATAAACAAGAAACTATATCTAAGATGAAATTAAATAACTCCAAACATGTATCGATGTAACATTGTATGCCATAATTACATACGTCTACTAGTATTCCTATTACAGCTAATAATATCCCTTCAGTCAGCCCACACTTTTCCTTGACCATAAGGCGTTGTGTACATGCACTTGAAACTAAAGACAACGCAATTCCTAACACTAGGAGAAGGTGTGGGAATTTGACTCTCATGAATGCCATAGCAACAGGACTAAATGGCCAAGCATGCTAATTCCTTCTCTCTCTCTCTTTCCATTGTCAGTGAACCAGAACAGGAAATTAACGATAATTTTTGTAATTATGCAACTTCCCATAGCTGTCTTTCTACTACGCTTTACTCAAAGACATGATTTCCAAGAAAAGATGTACATGTACATGCACCAACAATTTCATGCATGCAAATAGTAATAAGCAGCAAAGGAAGGGACAGGCCATACATAATGATAATGAGTAAACTTGTACAATATACTACAAGTCTGGTTTTATACTTGTTTTCATCAACTAGCTATACGGCATATAACAAGTACATGTACATGTACATGTACATGTAATTGTGTGGAGGAGTTAATCAAGAAAGAATTCTTGTTCTTGTTTCAGTCAATATTACACTAGGAGATGCCAATAGTTACAGTGATTCAACCAAATTGCATGAATAGTAACCACACACAAGACAATGGTATTACCACACAAAAAAGATAGAGAACATTATTAGTCAAACTGACTGACTGGGGGAGGAGATTAGGTTGCTATTTCTTTATTAGTACATAACACAATGCCAACAAATTCTGCAACAACATATCAACACTCATGTCCACTGCCATAATAATAGCAAGTAGACAATACCATTCTTGCATGGCAGTAGGTAAACCCTCAGTATAAATCAGTATACTCTAGTATAACTCAGTATACTCTAGTATAACTTAGTATATTTCAGTATAACTCAGTATATTAACTTACTTTGGACTAGTACACGGAGTGAGTGACTGGTTATGTTGAGCGGTTCCATTGGACCGGTCGCCCTATTAGCCGCTGTACATGTATAGTTACCGGTGTCACTCTCACCCACATCCGTCACTTGTAGCGTAGAGGAACTAATGACTCCGCCCTCTGGAGGCTCACTGGAACTGATAAAGGTGGTGAATTTGACAGAGTCTGAGAGGTCGGCGGAATCTGATCTAGACCATGAGATTGAGGGAGGAGGGAGGCCAAGGAAGTGACAAGAAATGTTGACGGTTTGGGACTGGTTGAATATACTGAACTCATCTGTACTGCTGGCTAATAACGGAGGCTCTATACAGAAAGAGAGAGAGAGAGAGGGAATAAAAATAGCAATAACACTGACAATTAGTACAGCAGCAATAACATTGCATTATAGTTATATATAATTGCCCTGCTATCTATAAACGAAGAACAATAAATATTAAGACTAAATTATACTAACAATAATACTTTTACTATAGTCGTTATATTATCAATAACAATAATATTGTTAGATGCTTTATAAATAATAGTCGCATGACTTACGATTGACGATAAGCTGAGCTGGGGTAGAGTTGCCGGAGGTAAGCGTAACAAGATCATTCTGAGCAAGACAAGTATAATCCTCAGCATCAGAGAAAGACAAATTAAGAAAAGTCAAAACACTCTCTCTTGTAAAGCCGTTCCTTATGGAGGTAATGCTAATAGAAGGAGAGGAGCTTACTGCCATGCTTCCTTTTAACCAAGTGATGTTTGGAGTAGGCGAACCAAAGGTTTGGCAAGAGAGAGAGACAGAGAAACCTCTGATACTGAGAGTGTCATTAGGACCCTGTGTTATTATAGGAGGGACTGAGGGGAGAGAGAGGGGGAGAGAGGGGGGAGAGAGAGGGGGAGAGAGGGGGGAGAGAGAGGGGGAGAGAGGGGGAGAGAGAGGAGAGAGAGAGAGAGGGGGGAGAGAGAGAGGGGGGGAGAGAAAGAGAGAGAGAGAGAGGAGAGAGAGGGAAGAGAGAGAGAGAGAGGGAGGAAGAGAGAGAGAGAGAGGGAGAGAGAGGAGAGAGAGAGAGAGAAGGTGACAAGAGAGACGAAAAAGGAAGAGAAACATAATAAGTGTGTCTGCGTATGGTTATATGCAAAACAAGGAAGTGAAATCTAATTATACAAATATTATATAACTAATTAATAGAATTAAAGGGCACAAATCTCTTATCATCGTACAAAAACATATTTACATATCTACACACATGCAGATACAAGTACAGATATACACACACATAAACACGCCTAGTTTAATGGAGGCAGTGCTGACCTTATAAAAGCAATTGCACAACTAGTAGCTTTGATAATAGTAACAAGGCATACAATTATCAGGACAGCAATGGTGTCACAATCAATACTGTTAATAGCCCAAATTAACACAAGATTATTATTAGATATCAACACCATACTAATGATATACACGTACATACATGTACACAATACATATTAAATGCATACATACATGTACATATACATCAATTCTCATTATGTGTGTATATGTACATGTACATAGTAATAGTACATAGTAATAGTACATAGTAATAGTACATTATATCTATATAGTATCCTGTAAGCTCACTTTGTACTTCTACATGTGCAGTGTTGTTCACAGTTCCGTGTACATTAGTTACAAGGCAAGTATAGTCACCAGTGTCCCCCATCGTTGCTTCACTGATACTCAATACACTGAAATACTCTCTCACTTCGGAGCCATTGAAAAACCCTACACTGAGTCTAGAGATGGAGAGGTTGAGAGGGTTGGAGTTAAAAAGCCATTGGACGCTGGGCTGGGGTTCTGAGGTGATGCTACAACGAAGCTCAGTACTGTTACCTTGAAGAACAATAGAGTCCGTTAAAAATGGAGAAACCAGGACAGGAGCAGCTAAAAGAGGGAAAGAGAAGCGATAAGATAAAAGGAAAAATAGAGAGAGGGGGGAAGTTAAATATTATTCATTACTTTACCTTCTATGTGAAGGTTTATTTCGCTAGAGTCTGTCCCTGCTTCGTTAACGACCATCACTGAGTAGAGCCCTTCATCTTGATGAGTCAGATCATTAATAGCTAAGCTGCGTCTATCCATTGAGTAGGCAAACCTGTCTGACAGGTTTGAGGATAGGGGAGTGCCTTGAAAGGACCAGAAGGTTCTCTCTGGTAGTACGTCTGGGGAAGCATCTTCTACTTGAAACCTTAGGGTAACCGAGGAACCAACTACACCGAGAACTGAAGGTCCATTAGGTAGAACCAACCGTGGTGGAACTATATGAATATTAATAATATTATTTGATATCAAGAAATGTAATGTAATTTAAATTCTTATAGTCTTTTCAAAACATTTCAAGTATTAGAAAGCATAACAAGACAGCACCTGCTTCATAATCATCCCTCCCTCTCTCTCTCTCTTTCTCTTACCTTGCACAAACACTTGAGTGGTAACATTTTCAGGAGAAGAGATCAAGTTATTAACATTGTTAACAGCAACACAAGTATAGCTTCCTTCACGAGCTGCTCTATCCGCATTAACAATAGCTAATTCAATGCTACGAATATACAGGTCAGACTCGTTTACAAAACTGGTCCTGGTTACAACGACATTGCCCCCAGACTCAAGATTACTGCCATTGAAATACCAGAACAGGGAAGGAGGTGGAATTCCAAACGAAGAGCAATTGAAGGTTGTTGAGAAAGACTGATTGACCCTCACTGTACTGTCTGATACACTAGTAGCAGGTGGATCTATACATGCAACAAAATAACAAATAATAATAAATAATAATAATATACATGTACATCTACATATATAGGAGAGGTAAGAAAGAAAGGGAGAGAAGGAGGGAGGGGAAAAGAGAGAGAGGAAAGTTAGGACAACAATTCACTTACATTGTACAATCACTTCAGCCTCCATTGATGTAGCTGATTCAAAGCTTTTAAGGTTGTTAGTTGCAGTACAAGTGTAGTTACCATCAGTAGACAATACAGAACCATTGAGTGTCAGTGTACTATGAGTGGTGAGGCTGCTGTGATCATAAACTGAGTTAGTGGTGTATCGAACAACTGAGTCCAACTCCGTCACATTGGTAATGTTCTTAGTCCAATAGACGTTTACTGGGGGAAAACCCCTCACGCTGCATCTAAGGTAGGCCACGCCTCCAGCGACAGGAGCAATATCGGACGGTTGTGAAGTGACCGAAGGTAAAACTGAGAGGGGGAGAAAGAAAGAAAAAAAGATGAAGGACAAAAGAGAAAGAAGACATGAAAGGATATTTGAAATGTGAAGGCAACTTGTATTATAGTAATTATGTATTACAGTACAAATTAGTAGCTGGTAAAAGAGGAAATGGTGCATAGTACTAGTATAGTCATTTACCCTGCACTCCTAGATCAACGGCAGTGGCATTAAGTGACCCAAACTGATTAGAAGCCCGACATATGTAGACGCCTGTGTTTGGAAACTCTAAGTCCTGGACAGTCAAAGACCCGAAATTAGATTCACCAAAGAGGCCAATCTGGTATTTCTCATTTGACGAGTTTATGACGAACGTATCGTTGAAGATCCATTCGATGGAAGGGGTTGGGTCTCCAGTCGCGAAACAAGGGAACGTGACGTTCTCTCTTTCGTGTTTATTCTGAGATGATGGAAGAGTTATAAAAGCAGGACGACCTATTAGTTAGAAGAGGAAAAGGGGAAGAGAGAAAACATGTAGTTACATGATTGTGCAATAATGGTAAGCAATTATAAGGTAATAAAATTATTAGAATGGAGGAGAGAGAGAGAGAGAGGAGAAAAAAAGAAGAAATACTGTTGAGGTGTTTGTATTTTGTGACTCTTGTTACAATGACACAAGATTAACAAGGCTGTCAATATTAGTACAAGGTGACAAAGCAGACAAGACAAAAAGAAAACAGCAAAAAAATCACAGAAGCAGCAGCATCAACATTATCATAATTATTATACTTTTTCGATGCTTACTTTTTATGTCCAGTGTGATAAAGGCAGAAGAAGACCCGTCTTCATTGGTAGCAGTAAGAGTATAAGTTCCTTCATTCTGTGACAAAGGGAGGCTGAGAGTTAGGGTCAGTCTGCTAGGAGAGAAAGAGAGAAAAGGATTAGTATTCTCGTCTATGATTTCGGTATTCAGGCCATTGTGATATGTCCAGGAGATGTTTGAAGGGAATACGGGAGGAGCAACGACAAAGGTAAGATTATGAGGCTCTGGGCTGACAGCCACTTGCTGACTGCCATCTAGAGGCGCCACTACAGGAGCTGTGATGATAGAAAACAAGAAAATATGTCAAAAAATAGCAACCAAGTGCAATAGATTGATTAGGGCAGTACAAAAATCATGTAGCTTTATCTTGTGGTAACTTACCAACTGCTATTGTCCTTCCTGCTAGTAAGAACGCAACCCCGGCCACAAGGTACAAGCAAGCCATGGCCATAAGGCAGAGCTTTCTTTGTCAGATACAAGACGTGCTTTTACTATTAGTGCTTTAGCTTTTGCAAGCTTTTATCATGACTCCTGCCAAGCGTGCATCCGACATCCCATTAGATATTAATGGGGATTAATAAACTACACCGGATCTAGACTTGTAAAAACTTTTCATAAAAATATATTAGACTATCATATAAAAATTATTTGTGTATCAAATAGGGTGAGGAAATTTATTATTAAAACCATGTCATTATCTTTTTTTGATACTCTAAATTATAAAATACATTTACGTTAAAGATTTCGTTTGCATATAAAAATATAAAATTGCATAGAAAAATCAATAAATTTTTATAACTCCGTTTCTTCATCCGGATCAGGTTGATCAATAGCACTGGAGTCAAGTTTCTCGTTACTAGCAAAAGCAACGGATGGGAATTTAGCAACAGGTAGATCAGTACCGGAATCTTCTGATCTGGCAGGACTGCTTAGTTCACTATCTAGTCTACCCAAATTAGCTTTGACGTCTTGAATTTCTTTTAGCGAGTGCACATAACCAGTCCTGTTGTCCTTTACGTAACCAGATGTCTTCTCTTTCTGTTTCTCTTTCGCCGATCGTTTTTTATTAGGGACGCTATAAATGTGATCGGTCATCTCTATATTCCCTGGATCTTTTTTCTCTGCGAGAGATTTAGCTAGGACAAAGCTCTCTGGGGTCATGGTCCCCCGTCTAGATCCTGGTTCATCATCTTGCTCAGTGTACTCCTGACATGTTATCTTATAGAAAACCCTCTTGAAGCAAACCCTCACTTCATACACCAAGAGACAATGGAGGACAAAGAAATGAAGTCCGAAAAGTGCACCGGTTATAATGAAGAGTGATTCGAAAATGATGTAAGTCGTTGTCTGAAGATCTGGAAGAGTTCTGAGCAGACCAAACAGCCAACCGGCCACGAATATGCCAAAGAGGATTAAATGTCGTCTTGCGGTTCCTCTGGGTCTCTTCCCAGTTGAGTCCTCTCCTCTTGTTATGAACCATCTTATAAGCATTAGAATACCGAGGGCAACTGCTATGATGGAAGCAAATGATAGTGGAAGAATCAGAGACATTACTGCAGTAATCTTATCTGGTCTGCAACTGAATAAGTGATAAGACAATAAAAGAGAAGGAGAAAGACAAGATGAAAAATTTATTGCATGTGTGTGTGTGTGTGTGTGTGTAAAATTAATGGCACTCAGTTATAAAAAAACAAAAATATGGCAGTCGAACAACATGACTCTGGCTGTTGATGCATAAAATAACTCACAGTTTGTCGTTGCTAGTTTGACTGTAAAATGGGGATAGCAAGCCAATATAGAACATGGGTGTAACTACAAATAAACATAACGATACAACAGGGCTACTCCAAACTTTAAAACTTACCCCAAGAAATGATCGAAATTATAATGGGGAAAGTTGATTTTAATCCAAGGAACACAACAGATACCATTTGTCCCAGTAAAGCTAATAGTGAGACTGAGAATGAATATTGAAATAAATAAGAAAAGACAATGCAGGCATTCTGTTGAGTCCTAGCATAGAGAGCACCAATGTACATGAGATAGAGGAGGAGGAGAGAAACACAGACATTGACGAGTAATTGAATTGGAGGCTTGATACGTAATTTCCTAGAATTAGAGAGGGAGAGAGAGAAAGAGAGAGAGAGAGAGAGAGAGAGGGAGAGAGAGAGAGAGAATTAATGTTGGAATTAAGAGTGTAAAGAGGACAGAAAGAGGAAGTGATAATAGTACAGACTAGCAAAATACCAAACATAGCAATTGAAACAGTAGCTCATGTACAGTCTGCATACACAGATGCATGCACGATACATGAGCACATTAGTTCAATAAATCTTAGTTATCAATCAAAACAAACAATATGAAATAAAAGAAAGAGTGAGTAAGAGAGATGGAAGGAAAGAAGGAGCAATTTAGTAGTACAAAAAATACTTGTATACAAACATGAAGATAATAGTGATACTATTACCTGGAAAATACGTGGACCAATAGACTCAGAGTGATACACAGTAATGAGACACCAACACAAATCATTGAGAGGATCTCTAGTACTTCTAAGACTTTAGAAGTAGCTGGAGGATTGCTTTGAGAACTAGGAGCTACAGTAGTTGGCTATAAAAGAAAAGAATAAAAAGGCAAAAATTTTATGTAAAATGTATAAGATTATTAAGCTAGGCCATGGGCTATACATAATCTTCAAAGAAAAGTACTACTTTTTGAATCAAGATGAGAATAACTCATAAATAAATAAATTAATTAATTAATAAATGGAAACATGTTGGAAATGCTCCTCTTACTTGAGCAAGTGCAAAATGAGTGAGATGGTTACAGAGACAGGTTATGGTGCCATTATGAGTCACTGTCTCACAGCCTTGGGCTGACCAATCACCTCTACCATCTCTTGCAGTGAAATCCCAATAAACACACGCAACCTGGGAACTATTCACCTATAACAACAACAACAACAACAACAACAACAACAACAATAATAATAATAATAATAATAATAATAGTAATAATAATCTGTTATATTTCTTGTTATCAATAATAATAATAGTAATAATAATAATAATAGTAATAACTAGAAAAATGTAAAAATTAAGGTGCTCAGCCCCTGAGCCATGCTTAATAATAATAATAATAATAATAATGAATTGTTAATTATTATGCATGTAATTGCAAAACATGTAGTCTTCATGGCTACAAGTAATATCCAAATAGCAAAATAATTGGCAGCAGCTGGTGTGTGAAGCAATAGTAATGTTACTATATTCAATAGCAAGCCAAGGTAAGGGGCTTTTCATATCAAAGCTGTCTTGTTTTTCTTTGCCAAAATATTTCAAATTCTTTGTAGCAGCAATAGAGGGTAATAATTTATGACAATCCTCTAATTTTTGAATGGGCATAGAATTTTTGAGCAAAGCTTTTCTTAACAATATTATACAGTGCAAAACTTACTACAATTAAACTTTGTTTTTATTTAATGTGGTCACTAAGATGCATGGTAAATTCAAGCTGCATAAACTCACCATTCCAAAGCTGATATTGACAGTTGTGGATAGATTAGTTAGCTTAACTCCACTAGCACTGGCAGCAAGAACTGAACTGCTCAGTGACATGGATTCTGACTCAAAAAGAACTGATGTCAGCCTTGAATTATAATAATAAGAAAAGAGAAGACGATTAATGAAATCATATCCGATCAATAGATCAGGAGGTAGTGATATGACAGGAGAGTCTTCCGATACAGAGAACTGAGAGCCAGAGTAGGAGGAAGTGGTGATGCTTTCGGCTGAGAGGACAAACAGGTTTGGCTGGTCTATGGTCCGGTTAGACTGATCAAGTAGAGACATGACTTCTGTTAGTCTTTCAAGACCAACAGTAATGCTATAATAATAATAATGGGAGAGAGAGAGAGAGAGAGAGAGAGAGAGAAAGGTGAAATAATTAAAGGTGAGGGAGTGATAGAATTTAAGGAAAGACAAGGAACAGTTATTATTGCTAGCATTACTGTCATTGTTTGAAATTAGTATTATTATTATTATTGCTACTGTTATTATATCATGCTGTTGTTATAAGTAGTTGACATTGATAGTATTATCATGTTGCTGTTAAAATGTTATTCCTTACCGTGATGAAATATTATACTGAGATTGTGCTTCACTGATGATGGATAGGTCAGCTCCTAACAGGCTGGTAACAACACCAACATAAGACAGAGTCAGCTATATATTAAAAAAAGATAAATAAAGTAAATAAAATTAATAAAAAATAGCATGAAAAAATTAAATGCGTTAAGGGGAATAAAATAAATATAAACTTAGTCAACTAATAGCTGCACTGCTGCACTAGAAGGACTGAGTTGCTGTTATATAGCTTACGTTATCATTGGATGGAATATCATGAATATATCTCTCTAGTGCTGATACAGCAATGGCTAGTTGAAGGGAAGAGAGTAAGTTAGGATTGCCTGACACTAAACTCTGCAATGACTGGATACTACTCTCAACTGTTGGCATCTAAAAATAACAAGAAATTAATATTAGGGCTGCATGTGGCCTAAATCATGAAATTTTAGATTTAATAGTATAGATCAAATATTCTGAAGCAAATTTCAATTTTGGTCAAAATCACAAGCTTACGTAGCATTAAAGCATGTATGTGTATCAGAAAATATAATAAAAATTTGGGGTGATTTTCAAGCCAAATTTTGAAAAAACTATGGGCTATAGTACAGGGTATTTTTCTGAAATTTGGTATTTTCTTAAAATGGCCGTAACTTGAAAAATTGAAGTCGGAATCAGCTCAAACTTTCTACGTAGCATAAGTACATCAATATGTATCAGAAAGTGTAATAAAAATTCGATGTGATTTCGGAGCCATTTTTGGAAAAAACCATGGGCTATAGTACAGGGTATTTTTCTGAAATTTGCCATTTTCTTAAAATGGCCGTAACTTGAAAAATTGAAGTCGGAATCAGCTCAAACTTTCTACGTAGCATAACTACATCAATATGTATCAAAAAATGCAATAAAAAGTGGGAGTGATTTTGGAGCCAATTTTTGGAAAAAACCATGGGCTATAGCCTTAGGTATTGTTCTGAAATTTGCCATTTTCTTAAAATGGCCGTAACTTGAAAAATTGAAGTTGGAATTAGCTCAAACTTTCTACGCAGCATAAGTACATCAATATGTATCAGAAAATGTAATAAAAATTGGGGGTGATTTCAGAGCCAATTTTTGGAAAAAACCATGGGCTATAGCACAGAAATTTTTTTCCAAATTTGGAGTTTTTAAAAAATGGCCATATATAAACTTGAAAAATTAATGTCAGAATCTGTTCAAACTTTCCTCTCTTTCTCTCTTTTTTTTCTCTCTCAATCCCACCCCTCTCTCTTACTTGTGTCACATTACATAAAGGCAGTACATCATCAGTAAATAAGTCACACTGTATAGTATTGGGCTCAGTCCAAGATGCTCCATTAGTGAAACTACCAGTACAAGCTCTTATAGCTACTGGTGAACCAGTCCCTAATGACAGACCACCACAAGGACAGTCTATTCTTAATGTACTCCCAATATTAACTTCTGACCAATTGAATGTTGAATTAGTAACTTCTGATTCACAACCATCTAACATGAAATATTAATGTATAATAGCTATGGTATGGAATATCATATACTTACCAAATCTTGTAATATTGTCAGTGACAGTGAAAGACGGATTAAAACTTGATCCTCTCAAATTAAAAAACTCGACTAATTCTTCTCTACATCTCAATGGACACCCTGACCCCTCCTCTGTTGCTATGACAACAGTAACTAGTATCGCTGCAGTACTTGAACTAACAAATAAAAAATAAAATAATCTTAACCCTCCCCTCTCTCTCTCCTTACTTGTCATTAGTATTGTGTAGTTGCACTGAGAAAATAGTTAGAGTGTCATTATAAATATTACTGCCTACAATATCCTGGTTCATCTGTACAATACAATACGATACATACAGGAGGTGAGTGAGTGTAGCTCACCATATTAACTAATAATTGATAATCTTGAGTAGAAGATACTGTCATGACATACTGGGCAACATCTATAAAAATAAATAAATAATAATAATACTTCTCCCCCTCCCTCTCTTACTATTGATAGTGACAAGAGCTGGTGTAGATGATACTGT